AACTGTGTGTTCAGATCATTAGAGGCTTTTTGAAGTTTGCTAATAATCTCCGATCTGGTTTAGAAACAGTGTCATCATTATACCAACAGGCTGTTTAGTGTTTACAATACTCTGCAACAAGCTACTTGGCAGAGGACTTATCACAGCCGAGCATATGGTAGCGTGGAGTCTGTTAAACAAACAAGTTTACTGTTCAACTGCGAAATCCATCATATTTTTTCACTGGGTACCAGACTTAAGGGATTGTTGCAAAATATGTGCAAGTATGTGAACATATAATCTGAAATAATATTTATTTTTGCCAAATGTTGGTATGAACTCAAAACATCCAGTTTTTGTGAAGTTCTACACATTATACATGATTTGAGCAGTTAAATGTTAAGTGCATTTTTATATAAACTAAATAAAACTGCCCCTTTATGTGGTTCCTATTAAAAAACAGAACTAAAAAGTGTAGACATTACGCAAGTTTTCAAACACTATGACAGAAAATGGAGTCTGTGCAGAATATAAAAAATATATATAAAAAAAGTGCACATGCAAGTCACTGTGTTTTTATCTCTGATCCTAACTGCTGCGAGCGGAGCGAGGATGGATGCTGTGAACCCATGTGTCAGAGTGACTCTGCATCTCTCTCTCTCTCTCACATACACACACAGACACACACACAGACAAATGTTTATGTAACTCGCATGTTTCTCCCTGAAGTGCTCATGCACAGCTTGGGGAGTGGGGGGCTGAGGGGTTGTTCTAAATAGGGCAAAGGCTGGCAGGAAATATATTTTGTGCCTCAAGCAAAGACACTGTCTCAGACACGTGAGTGCGTGCCAAAACTCACCATTAGCTTCACTTTCACACACAGCATTTACATTTAAAAGAACAAGGCTAGTCCGTATTTCAAGGGACCAATTGGCTTGTTTCTACCTCAACGCTGTGCCAATTTGTCAGAATGACTTTCGTGAATATATTTATGTGGATGCTGTTGTATCAACACACATGGGCACAAATAATCCACATGCACGACCTGACTTTCACACGAACACATTTAGCTTTCTCCAGGCTCACTCTCACCCAAACCCGCACACATTTCCTCCTTGTCATCCCCGTTGTTCGTCTCAGTCACGGTCTTGCTGGAGAACTTGTTAAGCGCCTAGGCACGTCCTGCAAAGTGCAGTCATCCAGAAAAGACTCTCACTGAGCCTGGCGCTGCTCTTTGGGCTTCACCGGGCTGCAGTCCAATTATTCTGTTCCCTCTTTCCTCCGTCTCTTTACCTACAACAACTATAGCGGTTTATTTCACTGTCTGTCCATCCTTCTTACATTTCCCTAAACATTTAGAGCACCATTAACTCCAAGACTGTTGCTACTGCTGGCTGTGATAAGCTCTCCACTACTGTATTTGATCAAATGTCCAAGAAAAACAAATATCCAAGATCCAAGGTGATTGAGTTCTATCACAAGTCCTCAGTTCTTATGTCCAAGTGACAAACTGATATCTGTGACATTACCTGCTAGATATTTACCTAATATCTAATATCGTACAGCTGGAATGATTAGTCAATTTACAGAAAATGAATTGGCATTGGCAAAAAATACTTCTTCAACCACAAATACTTAAAATGCACTTGTTCCAGGTGTGAAAATGTGCTGCTTTATTTATCAAAAAAAATCAAGTTAGGCTAAATATCTTTTGGTTTTGGACTGTTGGTTGGACAAAAGAAGCAATCTGAGGACATCAAAAAATGTCAATTTTCTTTTATCAATAATCCATCAAACGAGAAAATAATCAAAAGGCTAGCCAATTAGCACACTACAACTGATGACTATGTTTGTTACAGTTTATTCGGCAGATAATTGTTTTGAATCTCATTTTAAATCAAATAATATTTGGGCTATAAATAGTGGGAAACATGAATACAGAGTCCATCGTGACGTCTTCAGATGTCTTTTTTTGTCCAACCAACAGTCCAACCCCCAAAGACATTCAGTTTCTAATAATATAATAGCTGTACAGAGAAAAGCAACAAATCATCACATTTGAGAAGCTGCAATGAGAAAATATTGAGAATTCTAACTAAATAAATGACAATAATTGCTAATTAATTTTCTGAGGATCAACAAATCAGCTAAATGATTCTGCTCTAATAGCCGATAATAGAAAAATGATCATTAGTTGCAGCACTAAACCATTGCTTCTTAAAGTACATTTTCACCATCCATGACCACATACAGTATAGATCTACACTGTTAACCAATTACACGATCATGTGATAAAACAGGTCAACACTGTCTAAAGTGATGAAGTCCCAAACTTAATCTTCAACCCTTATTCAGTCACATCCAAGATTCAAGTAAAGCAACACTTTTTTGTGGACATGTACATGACTAACTTCCCCTTTGGCAAATCAGGGAACGCTTACATACATAATATGATCCGATCTAACGGTGTCACAATGTTGCAATGTTAGATGCAGAAGAAGAAGAAGCAGAAGAAGGCAAGAGGGAAGAAGAGGGTGATTAATGCAGCCCACACAGCTCTGTAGTTACAGTGACGTCCATGCTCGGTGTGGGATTGATGTGACAAGATGCAGAGAAGTAATAGCATGTTGTCATGTGAATGTGTGGTTGTGACATTTGAGAGATACAACAACTGTTGAGGACCTCTGACTGAGATAACGAGGGCTGTGAAGGTGGCAAGAACAGATGCTGACTGTGAAACCTTTCATATAGCAGCGAGTACATGTATGAAACATGACGTGATGTGTCTGTTTGCAGAAAGAGGAAACAGTAGGGCTCATAAACGTCAAGTCACAAAATGTTTTGCCTCATTCATTTAAATACAAGACAAAGAGCAAGTGTGCAGGGATCAGCAGACGCGTACTCTGAATATACAATCAACACAGTTTATGGATCAGTGCTTTAATAGCTTAAAAATCAACCAATCTAGCATGAAATCAAGTATTGGTAACGTGGCATAAGCCCTCCCCTCCCCTCCCACACACACACACACACACACACACACACACACACACACACACACACAGAGGCTAAACACAAGCAACATCACTAATGTAGATAAATACAAACTCCTAATTCACCCCTTCAATGACCAGATGTTGCATTTGTCATTTGTGACATTGCAAAGTATTGCTGCTTTCTCCAGATGTGAATGTAAACTTAAACTAAAGGTAACTTAGTCAAATAATGAAACAGGCTGAAGACATGCTGTTATAATAAATATAATAAAGGACATGAAGTGTATTCAGGTATCACAGACATGCACTACCTAAGGTAAACTTTGGACGACACTGATTGCAGCTAGGCTAAAGACTCCCTCACTGGGTTAACACCAGCAGTAGGTTAGCCTGCTGAGGCTAACGTCGCTAGCTAGCTAAGAGATTAAAAGTTAGCGTAAATAAAAACCCGCATAAAATTCACACTCACTCGTCGTCCTTCAAGTAATTGTCCTCTGTGATGGGTTTAATGGGGGCTATGTTTTCCGTCGCGGTGTTGTAGTTTCGGAAACACACTGTCAGCTTCTCGTCGAAGTCGTGGACGAGGTCCTCCATCGATTTGAAGCTGCAGATCTCCCCGGAGAAACTGTTGTCCAGGTCGGAGAAATCGTCTAGGCCCGACGTCGACTCGCCCACGTTTGAGTTGAGCTGGTCCAGCCGGTCGGCCGACGCCGAGGACGGCTTGAATTCGTTAAAATCCTGCCAGTCCTCATCGAAGTGGGCTAACGGCGCCGCCATGACTGCCGGAAGGAGCTCGGTCGACAGCCAGGTAAACCCCTCGATGGTGCACTGTTTTCGGCTTCGAGACACTGGACTAGACGGCGAGGGACTGAGAGAGAGAGAGAGAGAGAGAGAGAGAGGGAGGGGGGCGGACCTTAGTGACGTCGGTCTACACGCCCCTCCCCCTTCAGATGGAGCAAAACAAACCCATATCAGCTATGGTTGTTGTGATGTTTATGTTAGCCTGGTTGCTGTCAGTCAGGAGATACTAACTGTATTCTTGAGGCCATCTTAGGCAAACAGACCCATACATCTTACATCTCCTCTGCAGTAAAGACAAACTCACTCACTCATTTCTACATGTCAGTGAGTGAGGAGCCCTTCATTCAAAACCTAAAGATTAGTAAAAAAAAAAAAATATTTAGGAAAATATATTAATTCAATGTTTTACTCCACTCTGATGGAATAGGCTGCAGTAGTATTTAGAATTGTATCATCTTATTTTTGTGCCTGTTATTATTATTTTTTTGCGTAGATATTTAAGGTTAACTAGGTATTTATCTCATGTTGTTGTGTTAAACATTTATTTATGGAATCCTTTCACTGTTTTATTCTTATCTTTTATTTGCATTAAGTTCAATATTTGTCTAAATTTTAGTTTTTAGTTTTACTTTGATATATATTACCACCAGGTGGTGCAATGACCCTGATGATTCAGATTGTTCGAGATCCCAAGTGGTCTATATTAAATAAATAGAACATTATAAAATAAAATAAAAAAATCATATGATTTAATACAGGCGAGATACTTAATATAACTACAGAATAATGAACTAATCCAGAATAAGGTTTTATAAAAGCTCATCTCATTATGTTATTTCATTGTGTGTTTTTTTTTTTACTATGACAGTTCATTATGGGTCACTTTTATTTCAGTCCAGCAGTTTTTATTTCAAAAAGTATTTTTAAAAGGTCTTTTAATTCATAATTCCACTTTTCATCACCAAGTCATTACCTGTCAATCAAAACAATCAGAGCAGATTTAGTTGCTGTTAAAAATGTATTGGATGCACAATTCCATGGTTTTATTATATATTGTGTTTGTATCAATTAATATGATTATTTACTGAATGATTTATATTTTTAATGTTAACACTTTGGGTCTCCAAAAAAGATGTTTGCACATTTCACTTGTACCATTGCTTTGTGCTGTTTCCTAAAGTAAATGGCAAGTTTTGTGTAGAAATGTATGGCCAACAACAAGACTTACTCAAAATAACGTCACTTTATTGGCAATTGTTCTTATTATTCCTAATGGCATTGAAGATAGTCTCCTACCAGATGTTCTGGCTCCAGACATTGCTTTCAAGAAATAAATGATTGAATACAAAGTAGAATTTTGACACAAGTTCAACTCAGTGTTTTCCCACTACAGACCCCTGGACACATGCTTTACCAAAAGCAGTGATTCAGGGCCAACCTGGATCCCCTTTCGGTCTTTAAGGGTGGAGGAAATTAGTTTTCTGGGTATCTGAAACTTTGTTCTATAGGGCCTGCACAATCTCTTGCCTCATCAAACCTCCACGGGCCTTTTTTTTCAAAACCCTGAATTCTTTATTGAAAATATGCATACATAACACTTTTCCTACACAACAATACAAAACAGTACAATCACTTTTGTAAATAACACATTGAACGCAAAGCCACACATCACCCCTTCCCGCCCTAGTCCAAGGAGCTTAGAGATGCTACAGTAAGCCCTTAGTATTCCCCACCCAGCCCCTACCCACCACCACGGTCACCTCTGAGAGAGAAATAAGACATAGTTAAATCAGAAACAACTCCCTTGGTAAACTCAGACAAAAGAAGAGTAGACACCAGGTTGCATACAGACATAGCATCTGCCACCAGCAGGTAAATGATGGTCGTTACTGAAACTCTTGTTTGGGTTCTTAAGTGTATGAATGGCCTCAAGTCTTCTGAAATAATGTCGGATGTGGGAGAGGAGTCCATTCTGCATCCTGGAGTTGAGATAAAGGTTTCCAGAGTGTGAATATCAGACCACGACACATGTAACCTACAGAAAACACCAGTGTGCCTCAAGTGATTTGGCTTTGATACGGGTCAGATCAACCAACAATGGCACACCAAGAGAGAGATTTCGGTCAATTACACAGACATGCAATAAAGTCGATTTTTTTTTTTTTTTTTACATGAAGGAAACTCTTTAAAGGCGAGGGGTGGATAGTTCAAAACCTGATTTGATTGTAGGTAACACACTTCCTTTAAACTCTTCCCACTCCAATTGGCATGGGTGTTACTGTGCATATTCATTTGTAATAGTAGTGGTAGATAAAATGCAACCGAACACAAAGGAAATGTAAAAATATAATAAAATAAAGATGACAGGGGTTATTTAAGATTACAAAATAAAATGAGGACTCCAAATGTCTGGTTATATTTTAATATGATCATACAGGGATAGAGGTCAACCAAAAAATGATATATAATGTGAACAAAAAATTTAAGTAACAAAAAAGTTCAATAAAAACAGACAGAAAAGCACTGATTTTAAACATGTTTTACTGTATATCAGTCTGTAGCAAATAGTCATTACATACCCTGAAAAAGGGAGGAAGAAAGCTTTGAATGGTGCTCTGACCACTGAATAACTTGGCTGGAGAGCAAAAAGGGTTTTCTTAATGCTGAACTCTCTCTAAGCTCCAAGTACCCTCGACATGAGGCTGCTGTGCCTTAAATGCACGAGGTTGAGTTTTTATAACGTCTATAAAGATAATCAGTCACTGCTTTTGGGTGCATAGAGGCATAGTAAGGGAGAGTCAATTCCTTTTGCAATCTCCTGTTAGGTTTTGAATCTTTGCCAATGCAACCTTTAAAAGTCATCAGAACAGCGTGGCGACCGTAAGCCTGTGAGGACCTTGTGGATTTATGCCATTGCAGTAGGTGCAAGAGAGCGGAAAGACCACTCAAAGTGCAGTGGATGGAGCGGTGTCATACATACTGAAGGGTTGTGTGCAACTGTATGAACAGGAAGGCAGTTTGTTTGTGTGTGTGTGTGTGTGTGTGTGTGTGTGTGTGTGTGTGTGTGTGTGTGTGTGTGTGTGTGTGTGTGTGTGTTGTTGGTCTGTGTGTGTGTCTGTGTTTTAGGATTGCAACAACTCTCCCTAACACTGTGGGCTCAGAGAGTGGTTCAGGTTATTGTCTTCTCTCTAACTACTCGTCCAATAATTACAATCATTAACTTCTCATATGAAATGACCCTTTGCTAATAACACAACACTTTACAGCTTTTTGAAACATGCCTCATTCAAATTTGCTCTTTTTAAATGTCCTTTTTCTTTCCCCTGCAAAGATGATACATTGCCAAATAACTCAGTGCCGTTTGAATGCCACATGGTAAGGAGAAAAAAATTCTAATGTAAAAATTAAAGCCCCAGATTAAAGAAAAGAAGTTCTTATTTTACAAAATGGCTCTCAAGTATTCTTTGTTCCACAGATAGAGGTCCCTATGGGGCTTTGGATAACTTAGAATTGGTTTAAAATCCTCTTTACAATTTTACTATGGGGTTAGGAGATGGGGAGGGGGCTGTGGGGGGGGTGGGTCTTCTGCTGGTGTGAATTGAGCAAACATACAAAAACACGCACCAATTAAACCTGCACCCACAAATATCAACTCTCCCTAATGTGTGCATGCATAATCGCTCTCACTCACACTCACACACACTCTCTCTCTCTCTCAAACACACACACACACTCACACACACATAGAGGAGGGACAGCAGTCACAGGTTTGCAATCAAAGTTGCTCTTGAGCTCTTTCGCATGTGAAAGCATGTCTTTTGAGAAAGGTCATAGTGTATGTCCTGACAGAGGGGAAACCCCACCTCACTGACAACGTCTGACCCCCCTCACCGTTGATATGTGACCTGTGAATCCCTCTGTCCTTCTCCTCTTGATGTAATGGAGTTGTGCGGTAGCTAGCTCGACAGAGGGGGCTGGGAGTTGTCAGTTGAAAACCTTACGGCAACTGTCCTTGTTAGAAGTTAAATTAAGGAATAAAAAGTTTGTTTTTCCTAATGTCGAGAAACAGAAAGTTGAATCTTCACGCTAAAGCTTTCCACGGGCACTACTTGAGCTAAGATTCACCTCTTAAATGAGAATTACGCTATGACTATCATTAAAAAATTCCAACATTTAGCATAGCCTTTTTTGTGTTCTTTGTCAGCTGGTCGGTCAGTGTTTTTATGGTGGATTTTTCGGCCTTTGTCCAACAGATCGGATGCGAAGAATACAGCAAAAGAGTGGGGAAGAGGAAAACATACATACAGAAGAGTTGCTATATCCCCCTATGCACCATCCTCCCCCAACAACACCCCACCCATGTCCATGGAGACATTATACAGGTAATGTGAGAGACAAACAGGCAGACAGACGTAGTCCAGTGAGTAGACGGCTGGTCTGCGTTGTTTGTCTGGAGGCATCACAGGGACACTCCGAGCTCAGGGTGAAGGTGGGTTTCCTGGGAAACTCTGCGAGGACCTGGTGGGGCAGGTGACCAGGCAGCAAGATGGGGAAGAAGGGTCAGTTGGAGGAGGAGAACAGCTGTTACAGCTCACCAGTGGATGGCGGTGGTATCCCGCTGGGCACTGACTGGTTTTCCTCTGGGTCAGGATCAGGTTTGGGATGAGGACCTGAATTTTCAGAGTGTCCGTCATCAACTCCACCATTTTGTCTAGGCCAGTCAAGAGACAAATTCTTCTCACTTTTGTTTTCTCTTTTGTCTTGGTGGGTTTTGTTTGTTATTCTTGACTTGCTTTAGGTCGGTGTTAGATTTTGTTCGCCCGTTTGGATTTTGTTTTATTGTGGGATTCTTGGATTGTTGTTAAAGAGAGACGTCATCTGGTCCATAAGTGACCATCAACTGTCCATGTTACTGCAGTTCTCTGAGGGGATAAAGAGAGATCAGGTTAATTGAGAAAAGTACATTCAACACAACAGTGACATCTCCCTTTTAGTGGTATAATTTTTAACCACTAAAATGATTGTTGCAGCTTTATGTTGACAAAGTATTGTGAAAATCAGCAAATCCAAAAAAGACCATTTTTGAGCTAACAATGCTAACTTGCGATTTGGTAAAACCAGAATAGGTTATTACCGTTGAGTCCATCCGCCTCTTGTGAGTCAAGGAAGGGTGCAGGACCCCAGACACGCACTGTGCCGTCATCTGAGGCGGAAGCCATGAGTCCTGGGATGGCTGGGTTCCAGCTCACACAGTTAACGGTGCGTGTGTGGCCTGTTAGCTCAGCAATGGGAAGTTCACCGCGCCGGTGCCAGATGTACACTTTGTGGTCTGTGGAGAAGAGACAACGAAGGCAACAAAACAGGTGGAAGTAAAGATATTCAGTACACAGGAGGAAATCATTTTAACGTCACTTATCAAGGCTGAAGCACGATTGTCATCTGTTCATATGAGTCAATACTAGTGCACTGATCAGCAGTGATCCTGTGCAACAAGCAGTAACAAATATCACCCTAAAACTGCACCATATCACACTTCATTGTAAAAAAGACAGAACCCTTTACTAAACACAAAACAAACATGCCAAGATTGTCTGCAGTGCTGTCTGAATGTACCTTCGCTGCCACTGGCAATGAAGTCTTCGTTGTGTCCTCCAAAGCAGGAGTGGATGGTGTAGAAGCCCTGGGTAACACCTTGGTACTTCCTCACCAGCACCCGGTCCTGAAGGTCCCACAGGTGCACTCCCTACAAAAAGGTTGTTGAAGAACAGCCTGTAACTATTGCAACGTGCTGCACAGTGTTTCCCAAAACAAAGTGGCAATGCACTTTAGAAGCAAATAAACTAACACTGAAAATGGTGGAGTTAAAAAGCTTACCTGAGTTGCTACATTTAACAAAGCTAATCTTCCGTTCTTTGAAACAGTAAAAGACATGATAGGGTGGTCCTCCTGAACTCTGTGAAGGACATGTAAATAAGACACAGGCAGTCAGGCATCAAATTGAACAATGCAAATATACAAAGATATAGTTAACATGGAAATCTCGGTAACTTGAAGATGTGATACTTAGGATTCAAACGTATGCAAAAGTTTGGACGGATCATGATTTGTTGTGCTACAAAATTGTTTATCAAACAGTAGCTTTGATTAGAATTTATAGGCAAACTTGACAGACGTCTGCATTGTTTGGTACCGGAAAACTCCACTGAAAGATCTACACATACATACCTACTAACTATATTTTAAGTTTATTTTAAAGTGCAAACAAATCTGACCTCTGTGAAGCACTTTATGCACTGGCAACATGGCAGCTAGCAGTCGAAATGGTATTAATTCAGATCAACATTAAAAGCCCTGCACACCCACACTAGAGTTTTAACCAGATTAGACATCTGCTTAGGTTGATGTTGGACAGAGCTATGCTGGAAATTACATTAGGTCACCAACTCTAATGATTAAGCTGTGAGTCGTTTTTCCCGAACAGATGCAACAAAGCTAAGACGAGGGTCTTAGCTTAGTCTGTACATACAATCAGTCCTAAAACGAGCTCTAATAAGGTAGATTAAGTGAAAACACCTGTGGGTGGGCACCCGCCTGATATACATTCAACTGTAGCACAAATTTTCAGAAAATTGAGGAAAAAGTATGAATTTACGGTATGCGCATTTCCATCCACTACTGTTATGTGAATATTGGGAGTTTGTTCAGTGAGACAAGCAGTAGGTGGTGCTAATGCTCCAGTCAGGTACCATTGCAGAGGAATTAATTAGAGCCAGGGTTAAAAAAAAATATATAAAAACATGATGGAAACAAAGCTATGTTTAGGTTTGTTGTAATTTGAAGAAGGTTACATTCTCCCCATCGCTCAACAGATCTGATATTTTTTGTATTTCCAGTTTTTGCTTGTATTAATACAACTTTTCCACTTCAGCCAAGCATACATTTTTATTTTTGCCGTTTCCTATGCGTAAATTGAAAACGTGTATAAACGGGTAAATGCACACAATGACTTGGTAGGGACTTTCAATACCATTCACTCAGACATAGTCTCATTTGGCTGGCATTAACAAACAAAATGTGCTCTATATTCAACTACTGTAATTTCACTTTAATCTAAATATACTAGAGTACAGGGACTAGGAGGGCTGACACATACATGTTTCTGTCCGTAAGGTCCTCAAAGTTGTACCCCCGGATGCGTTGGTGGGTGTCTGAGGCCAGCACTGCTCTGCCATCACCCAGGCACCACAGGCACTGCACTCTTACGCCCTCCCAAGAGTCCAACAAGTTACCGTCCAGGTCCTGACAAGACAGACAGCAGACCCCCTCATCTCTCATTCTTGACAGGCAACCTGTCAGTCCAACCTTATTCAACTATTTAACAACCTTTCTTTCTGCTCAGACAGTGCAACAATCAGACAATTGTAAAACAGCGTAGAATCTGAGGAACATATAAGATCAAACTGCTTTCCTTCCTCCTAACAACATGTAATTTGATAGTAGCAAATCTCAGCTCATCTATTGAAGAATAGGTTTGTTTGTCACAGAAAACAACTGAAAAATGTGTGAGCCTCTAAGACGTGTGAAATAAATAAATGTGAAATAAGTTCAAATGTTAATTTACAGCATACTAACATTATCCACTATACAGAGACCATGCGTGTTTCAAAAAACACAAATACACACTTAAACTATCTTCCCAACAAAATATGATAAAAAAAAACATCCTTATGGGTTCATCGGGTTCATGGCTGGAAAATCAATACACTGCCTGTTTAAGGTCAGTGCAAGACGTAACAGCTATACATATGCCACGAATCACATACAGTATCTTCAGTCTCCTTTTAACCCTACCCCCTCTCCTGTGCCTTTAAAACACCAGGCATTCAGCAGTGATTGAATAAAGAGATGATACATACAATTATATAAAATTAAAACTATACAGGTATTTGCTCATACAAACACATTAATGATCCAACCACTTACACATTGATAAAACTGTCCCCTCTGTCCTCCGGTAACAAAGCGTTTGCCATCTGGGTTCCAGGCCACACTGGTCAGACTGTCTTCATGGGACTGGGACATTTTGGTCCGCAGCTCCCCCGTCTGGTCGCCGAGGGAATTGGTTGAGACAGTGGAAAAACAGAAGAGGAGAGAAAAATAGGGGGGGAAGGGAGACAGCAAGAAGAAACATTAAGTAAGAGTGGGGGAGGGGTGAATAAAAGGAAGAGAAAGGGGAGGGGAAGGGAATGGATGGGCGAAGAGGAGAGGTCATTGAGTACACACAGCCTACAGAATATCTCTTGAGCTTCAAGCATGTTTTTCTCCTCCACTTGTTTACTGAATCTGAATGATTCAGTCTTTGACATCCCAGATCTGTGCTTCTGTACATATCATGTTCACAAGACAGAGCTGGCATTATGAAAACAGTTGGTTAAGAGGTTTCACAAGTATAGGATTATGTAAAGCTAAAAACGGTAGGGTCTGAAACTAAAGTAAAAATGTCACCTGAACATTCCAGAGCCACAGCTCAGAGCAGTCGTCAGGTCCACAGGCGATCAAGTAGGTATCATCAGGACTCCAGGCTAAGTAGGAGACACCATATGCATGGCCCTCCAGGGTTCGCAGCAGCTTCAACTGGTGGCTCTCCTACATAAAATTATAAAATGAATATGATTATGATAAAAATTTATTTAGACACACAAAGAGTTGGGCCCTCGATGGCAGCGATGCTAGGAGGTTTTCAAACCACAAAATTCTAACTGGTTGACAAGAAGTTACACAACATGATGTGAAAAATTCAAAAATATCCCAGACTGCTCCAAAGGTGTAACAGAGTCCAGTCTGTGTGACAGTGAATTGTCTGTCTGTCAAGTCTTTATAAAACTATTTTCTAAGACTTAGCAGACATGAAAGAACCTCGAGGACATGGATGCTGTTTGTTCCAGGGTTCTTGTTTAGTAGACATAAGGTGAACAGGCTTTCCACTTTTTATAAAAACAGACCACAGTGCTGGTTCTGCTTACAGACATAGAAGACCAACCAAATGTAACTTTGGTTTGGTTAGCTTGCAATGAAGAGTACAAGATTGAGTCTCGGTGATAATAAGGAAATCTGAAATAAAATAAATCTTCATCGAAAGGATAAAGAGTAGTACCTTATGTATATCTGTAGACAATATCTCATAATCTAAGACCAACCATAAAATTGCTTCAAAGAGCGGCTCGTGTTTATATGCATAAAATATGCCCATAAGGGTTTGGAGCATGGGGCATTCTAAGAAAAGTATATTACTGTAAGATACATATTTAAAAAAGCCAAGACAAACCTGCCTGCAAATGTACGAGCCCAGACCACTACATTCCTGCAGGGTAATTTTAGCTGCAGAATAAATCATAAAAAAGAGGCAGCGTGTGTTTATTCAGGCCGTTTTCACACTCACCGGGTCCACTTGCCAAATTATGACAGTAGTGTCTTTGGAGCCAGTTGCTAGTTTGGTGCCGTCATTTGAGAATTTGCAGAACCACACTTCGTTACAATGCTCTGTCAAAATCTGTTGGGTGTAACAGGGGAACTGCTTCCTGTGGCACAGAGAAAGACCAAAGGTTAACACCTTCACTGTGAAGATCAGCCATAGTACCTTATGTGGTCTATATCTCAACATGTTGCAATCACAAATAAATCAAGTATACAGTATAGGGCAAAATGATAGTGAGATACAGTTTAGGGAGAAAATGATTAAGGTTCACAACAGTGAAACAAGAGTAGTGCAGCCATAATAGGACAGTAAGATGCAAGAGGCAAGACATAAAAGAGAGACTTCTGAGACAGAAGATGACATTTGGAAACACAAAAGCAAAGTTTTCAGTGCAGGAAGTCAACCAAGATTTAAATATAAAATGTTGCAGTATGATAATTTAACACTCAAAAGGGGCCTGAGCAGCATGATAGCTGAGCAGCACCAACCTGCTGCAGACATGATCGAGGAGGAGAGAGACTGAGTCAAGATTACTGTCCAGCTTGGTGTTGTGATAGAGGCAGCGGTCCCTCTGCAGCTCCACTGCTTGCCGCAGCAGGGTCTGCAGCCGCCGAGGGGGCAGCATCACAGAAGGTGGCAGGTATGCTACAATGAGAGGTAAAAGGACACATATTGACCTTGCGTATGGATTATGTGTGTTAGCTCTACAAGATTGGCGTATGGACACGTTTTCTCACTCTGTAATTTGTCCAGCAGTCGGCAGCGTGAGGCGGTGCCCTTGCCCTCCCACTCTGCCTTGGCCCTCAGATCCTCAGCATGGCTACACATTAAGTACCTGCAGGAAGACGCAAACACACAGCTCAAGCAAAACAACATACACAGGAAATGATAACACGGTTAAAATATCACAGTAAAAATACAACCCAAAAAGTTATACACATTGCCAGCTAGAGCAGTCAATAAATAGTGAAACATGGTGGACTGAATGCAGGTATTGTTTGAGGAACAAGTTGACCCAAATACATTTGGATACAGCCGACTGATTGGCCTAAGACAAGTGGCAGATCAATAAATTATTCTGTCAATTGAGTGAAAGACTGTGGAGACAAACAGGCTTGTAGTTGTGTTGAGTGATCAATGCACACTAATTGATTAGATAATGGATCAGAGGAATGTTTGCTGAGAGCATGGGCACAGTGAATTGATCAGATCACGGATCAGATGATCCAATGGCTGCTGACGCCCTCAGAGGAACAAATATATGTTATAATTTATAGTATAATATGCATATTGGAGAACCAAATTAATAGCAAACTAAAGATCATTGAGGAATATTGATCCAAGACCTTGATTTTTAAAATTCAATAAAAGCAATCTACATCTGCACAGTTTACAGCTAAAAACAAAATCAAGAGTAAATAAAAAATAATAATAATACTGAAAATTATTTTTAAAGGCCTCATAATTACTGTCAGTCAGTTATCTTCGCTGAAGGGGCGTCCTACCCTACAACTGATTGCACAACTTAGTAAACAGTAGTAGTGTAATAACACTGACCATTAAATTAAATTATTTAACATATCATTTTCAAAGTGGTTAGGACTAGTTAAAAACTATTACACTATCAGAGACATGTTACATTCCAGCCTCCATTAAAAGGTTGGCCCACCACCAGGGGTGGGAGCTATATCACTCATGATTACAGAGTTATCTAAGAGCTGCATGGGCATATAGCTGTTCGTAGTGTGTATTTGTGTAGACAGGGTGAACCATCTGATGACTGCAACAAGACAGATGCAATGTTAAACTTGTAACCGTACCCGCTAAGTACGTGGATGCGATCTGTGTTGTATTTGAGTGGAGTCAACTCTCCTCGGAGCACCTGCAGAGCCTCCAGGACTTTGCCATCCTCTAGATACTCTAGGTACTTCTGCTGCAGCAGCAGGAACTTCATACGCTGAGCAGAAGAAGAAAGACATACAGAGAATAGATTTTATAAGAATTGAAGGTAGAACAAAGAGAATAATGACAGATTTCAACCACTGAACAGTTGGTCTGCATGACTTTAGAAGGACATAAAAAGTTTCACATTTCTAGTGGTATGGCTCTGCATTGCAAACAACATCTAAAATATAAACCATCATAAGAAAAAAATCAAGCCCCATTAAGTCCCATGTAAAATTTATGCCATTTTTGCTGTCAAAACTCAATGGTAGCATATTGCAAAGCAGCATGCTGTCACTAACATATTTATAGAAGTGCCTAAGACATATGGTAATGTAAACATCAGTAGCCTAGTTCCTTTTAAAGAGAAGACCAGTGGCAAGTGTTTACCAGTCACGGTTGCTGGTCCGTGTTATTTGTGGTATTAAAAGTCTCTGTCTTATCTCAGGTATCCAGTAGGCGCCACAGCCCTCACAACGGTTACACATAAATTCAAGAGCACATCCACCCACAAAAGTCTACAAATACAGAGTGCAAAAACACACAGACATATCCTAACTGTGTAATATATAAGTAAACTGCCTCCTGGAGCTGCAGTGAAGTCATGTTGACAATGACAACACTAACCTGTTACAACTCGAGACCTAAAATGGCTACCCACACTGTACAGCTGAAAAATCAACAGCCACAGCCATTATCTCAGTAGCCCAACTGGTGGTGGCAGTTAGACAGACCTCTGACATTGTGCAGCAGGCACTTGACTGAGACATGTGGGACCCATTTTTGAAGCTCATCTAACTAGCACGCTAGCTGAGGCTAATTAGCCAGAGCTGAGTCCAAACTAATACTTGAGAAATATGCACCATCATACAAATCTTCCCAGTATACAATTCTGGCAGTTAGTATATATGTACTGTAATCATTCTGTATTAACAGAATGCAAGGTTTTGAAAGCTTTAAGAGAAAGAAAGAAAAACTAATATTTTACTCTTACATGTAATGTGTTGTGGGACAACAGTGTAGATCAACGCCACACTCAAAAATCAAGGAAATTTGGCATGCATAGTAAAATTTAGTAGTGAGTACACCTAATTATTAACACTTTTCAGTTTGAATGCAATACATACTCAAGACCGTGTTAGAATTACTATGTAGTGTGACACAGCAACACAGCTATGGTTATACTCTTGCAGTAACATTTCAATTACAAGAATTTTCAATGATAAAATAGATATTTGACCTTTCCAATTCCAATCACATTATATTGGCTTTACTGGCTTTCTTTAATATAAATATTTAACATAGATGAACATTTTCAATAAGTATCCCATGATTTGTTTTATTAAATTAACTGAGACGATGATATGTAGATACCAAGATATTTTAAATTAGAAAAATAAACTCTCCCCAAGACAATATATATATATATATAACGGAGAACTTCTAAACTATATAAAACCTATCTTTGTCATTTCTGTACTGTAATTTCTTGTTATCTACTTACATACACACCAAAATGGTATACCTGCAACAGGCTAATATCAACCAGCATTAGTCGAGCTCTAGTTGCATGGAATATATAAATCGAAATTAATATGGCAAGAAAAACCAGACTATTTTAAATCTATAAACTTTAAAACAATCTGAGGACAAACTCATTTTTGCAAAGTCGAACCACAGTTTGCTTAAGACAAGAATCATGCACTCATACCCTAAATCTAACGTGGTGTCCGAGGCGCCATCCAGAACATTTTAGCTTTCAGTGTACCACAACAAGAACCTGCGGCCCTGCATTATAACGGTACCATTCTAGAACCTCCAGCTGTGCCTCCTAACTGACTGGCTGTCATTCAGGGCAAGGGGAGCTTACCACAATAGCATTGGGAGAATGCATCAGTGCTCTCAGCTCATTGAGATCATTCTCAGCCTGGACCAAAACAAAGGGAGGGTGATGGAGGGGAGAGAAAGAGAGAGAAATGGTTAGCTCAGCAGTTTCCATGCATGCACAGAGGGGAAAAAACTAATCACATGTGCAGTAATATAGATCTTACGGTCACTTTCATGCAAAAGATGATAAAATTGAGGCTTTAACAATGAAGCTGATGTCCATGTGCTGGGGTTATAATTATAAAATAACACCTTTATGTCTCTCATAATCACAATACTGGCCACATTTACTACTCACTATTTTATTTCTGGAAAAGTCAAATGAGCGGCTGGTTTACAATTGGTTTATAGAGAGTATAAAACTACCCAACACATCCAAAAATGTAACACCATTTGGCTCAAGTCTGGTGTTCATTTTCCATCCTGCAGTTCTGACATAGGTTCATTAGCTCTAAAATGTTGGAATGAGAGTTATTGCGTGGTGAGAACAGGGCAATACAGCTGAGAGTGTTACTTTAAAAAACAGTTACATTAAAAAAAGGCCTTAAAAGGTGCTAATATAAACCAAATGTTTTAAAATTCCACATTATCGGGCCTAATTGAGCACCCAACACTCTGCTATGCTTCGGGTGTTCTGATAAACCTTATTTTTGATATTTTAATATAATAATGGGTACATAAGTGGGCATGTGCCTTTTTATTGACAGAAAATGGTATGTTAGACTTTTCAGTAGGCATATTAATAACATGCTTGCTACACAAATTTTATTTTACCATATACTCTTCTATCTGCAAGACCAGTTGGTCAAAGTTGAAACCAACAGATCAGATTTTTTCCTTGAGCTCTCGATATTAATAATTATAAGCAGATTAAATGTTGTTCTAACAAATACAATCCATGAAATGAAATATGTGAATTCTGTGTTTTACCGACAAATAGCATTACAAATGTAAGATCTGTTGCTCGATATAATTTCATTGGCACATGTCAGGAGGGAGTCTAAGAGTTGTACAACATATAACAAATAACACTAGGAGCTTGCAGTCCAAATGCCACTTTCAGTACTTTGTTCTTGCTTTCCCTAGCTTCCTTCAACAATTCATAACCTATATTCATAATTTGCTATATTTGCTTTTGTCGGTCAGTCTTATGAGATGATATCAGTTGTACGTCTGCTGGTTTCTTGACCACACAAGCTCTTAATCTTGCAATATGATATGGACATCAGATCACTAGAAAGGTGACCATTTCCTTGTCTATCAAAATGCTTGCTATTATGTAACCAGGGTATCTCAAGACCAACCTTGTCCCACTCCCCCTCCATGACATGGTTGCGGAACTTGGTAGCTGAGGGGTGTTCCAGTCTGCAGCCGGATTCCTGCATCAGCAGGTCCACCGTCTGACTACAGAGACAGAGAGAGAGGACAGAAAGGAAGACAAAGTTAGGCTCACATACAGACAGGTGGTATATAAAAAAGGGAGAAAATAACTTTAAAATGTACATGAAATGAAGAATCAGGTACAAAAATAACATTTCAATGAAGACTAAGAACGTTTCTGGGAAGATTGTTCAACTTTTCCTGATTATCTAATCACCTGTGACATTTCACCATTGTGATTTTTCTATCTTTACAACTATAACAAATAGGTGAGTGGGAGATGTGTAACAACAATATTAGTATGGGCTGACAATAATTTCATGGCCAACAATGTCTGGAGGAAGCCAGTCCAGAGCGGTAGTGTCTTCGGAGCATTATTAGAGGACAGAAAGAGGTTTACTAACATGAACCGAGCTTTTGCTGCAGCTGACATCATCTTGTCAACCATGAACCATGACCATCTGTCCATACACCCTCCACCAACACAGAATAGGTCTACTGAGGTGTGTGTGTGTGTGTGTGTGTGTGTGTGTGTGTGTGATAATGAAAGTGTGTTGGGGATGGGGGTGGCTGACACCTTCAGCATGATGACATCATTCTCAGGTATCAATGGAGTGGCGCAGCAGCTCTGTGTTGAGCCTCTCATCCCGCTGGCTCCTGCTACACTGATTTCTCTTGCATTTCTCCAGCTGAAACGTAGGGCCTCTGTTTCATACCAGGCAATGCCATGTACCCCCCCCCATTTGGCCCACCCTCTTTGTAAACATAGCGATGTTCTGCTGTCCTTTATAAAGCCTTATAATGGCAGTTACACTTTCTCAGCTGGATGCCACAGATCTGCGGATGTCTAGCTATCCAACAGTGGCAACCGCAGCCACTTTAGAGAGGAGGGCTAGACGTACATTTCTTGAAAACCCCACTACGCTATTATTAGACTCAAACACAGGCACCATCTAAAACAGCTGGTAGAAAGCGCATTCTTCAGCCGCCATGAAACCAACCGATTCTGCTCAATTGAGGACCAACTGTCGCACACTGTACTGACTGCTCGTCTTTAAATAAATACATGCCCTAATACATGCACGCCACTGTTTGTGACTCTTAACACATTGCTCTTCACACAGTGGCCGAAAAATGCAGACAAATCTAGCAAGAAAGTTATCATGTCCGTGAGACAGCTGTACAAAATCTTGATTAATTTCATAAATAAAAGACTAGCTCGAAATGACAGCCCAAAACGTGCAAAGGGTGCACTCTGAATACTAAAATAACCAGGACAGTTTTCATAACCATGGTAGTTATTACAGTGTGTCCGACCTATTAATGTTCCTCCCACACGGTCTTGTAAAAAAAAAAAAAAACATGTTATTTTCCCGAGGCAGCCAAAACTGGAAAATGGAGAAAACCACAAACCATTCTGGCGAAAACCAACACTGACAACCCGCACATTAACATTTCCTCCGCATTTTTTTTTTTTAATAGCCTTGAAACGCAACAATGTACACCGCAAACTCAATAATCCTGCTTGTGCACTTAATTAAGAAGCTAAATCAAGTTTCTCCATTCGCATGACATTGATCGTATTCCTTGCAAACCACCGTAACAAGTACGCGGATCATGTTTTCCTCTGAATAAACGTTACCACCGCTCAGATGATGTAATGGCTTTTATTCAGAGCGAAATCTATAACGTTAATTAACGCGTCATGGCGACACTTTCACATAAAAACACCCTTTCAGCTCACGATGGCCTTGCGAAGAAGCCAAATGTTAGGCCACGTTTAAATGTAAAGTGTATGAAGGTTTAATGTCAGGATACACCACCTCAGCGCAGGCTAAGTGCTGCTAGCTACCAAGCTAACTGTTATTGTGCAAGATGGACCCCTTCTTTCTACCAACTGCCGAGCTCAGAGGCTAACTGCCCCATCCCCCCATGTTTGTGTCTGTCAAGCGCATTAATAGCGCTTTTACCAGCAGCTATTTCGCAGTACCATGCGAAAACATCAGCAATACAGATCAAACTTCGTGTGTTCAGCGTTATCGTCGGATACATTTGTAGGTTTCCCCCCCTCCATTCGACTTTGAATAAACTTACTTCAGCCCTAGTCCGTGGAGATGTTGCCCTATTAATCGTATGACATCTTCCTCCGCCTGCGATAGCCGTTTTTTCTTTTTCAAGGAGCCGACCTCCGAACTTGAAGCCGTAGAGGCAGCCAAAGTCCCCGAACCGGGCCCGGTGGAAGACCCGTTACTGGTACCGACACTGTTACCGTTGTCTGTGCTGGAGAAAAGCCCATTGGAGTGGGTTCCGCCGGCCGAGGATGACTCCCCGTTTTGTGCGCTGTTAAGGCAGGAAAGCTCTGAGGATTCTTGTCCCTGTCCTGCCCCGTTTGCCTGCATACTGGTGCTGAGGTTGTTGACTACACTTCGGTTAAAGTGGATGGCAGAGGTGGCTTGAGAGTGTGGAGAGTGTGTAGCAAGTCCTAAGACAACTCCGGACAGGCCTGTTACAACTGCTGAAGCCCCGGGCTCTCCTGCTCCCTCCGCCGCCGAGGCTCGGTGCTTCTTCCGCGGGGGCGGCGACGCTCCGCCGGTGTCCGAGTCGGAGGAGGAGGAAGCGGAGGCCAGAGTTTCCTCACCGAGAGCGGCCGTGGTTAGAAGCCGGCGGAGCTCCGGGTGGGAAATGAAGGTTAAGCTTCCAGATTTGAGGCCTCGTTGTCGGGCTCAGAGCGGACTGTCACTATGGGAGCGCTGTCAGTTAGCCCGTTTTTGTTGTTGTTTCTCTCAAAACAGCTGCAGCTCTAATGGAGTCCTGACGCCCTGACGTAACCGGAAATTCCTACACTACTAGGCTTCCGGGTAGAATTATAATCCATGGGTGGCGCATGAGAACCTAGTTAGCATAATAATTACCGACAACAATAACACATCACATTAAAATTCATTTGAATGTCTCCGGAGATCTGACTTTATTATATCCGGAATTTCAATTTAGCATAAGGCGTGAACCTCATATTGGCTTTCCACAGGGGTTCAGCTTTTACATCTCTACATAAACCACTCCCATCTCAATAAATAATGTAACTCCAACTTAATTATCTCCAAGAAGTTAATAGAATATATGTAAAAGGTTTTGATTTTGGCTAAAAGTTGACTTGACCACTAAATGCAGAATATTAGACACATGATTATGTAAACAGGAAAATAAAATTATAGCTCGTCCTGACCAGTCCATATCATAGAGAGCAATGGTGGTTATTATATTCTGCAAAATATGTTACCCTGAAAGTTTACTGCAAAGTAAACTGAAAAAGTAACCATAAATCTCACATAAAAAGGTCTATACCACCCATGGACAGTATCTATATATTCATTCCAGTCACTTAAAAAAACGGCATCATCATCATCAATATTGTTCAATAATTTTATATGATGATGTTCATTCAATTATTTATTAATATAGAAAGAAACACTCTATAAGAATAACTATAGGGTGTAACAGATAACATTATAGATGACGTATCCTAATTAGGTCATTCATTCTAGCTTTTTACAATTACAGTCAGGTTTCAACTGGTTGGATTTTTTTTATAGTGGGACCATACTCTTGTATACATTTAGATCACACACGTTGCCTGTAACTGATCAATCCAAGATATTTTCCAACTTAACGTTACAGGAAAACGAACTGACAATGCTCATCAAGGTAGTAATCAATGAACGAACATATAAACAAGTGGCCAGAAAAAAACATCCATTGTATTTATAATTAGGTCACTGATCAGTTTTTCGTAACTACCAATCACTAGCACTGTTAAGCTGCCTTTGTTTTTGTTCATACTTTTTAGAATGGTAACACAGTAACATTAGCATCCTTACACGCTAACATTTAGCATGTAACATTTGGCATAGAATATTGGGTGTGACCCTTTTTCAACATTTGCATCAAAATCATGTAAACAATAGATAGGCTTTTATCTTTCTTATTCTCTTTAAATAAAATTAAAGCCCCTACACAGCCGTGCTCCACTCCCATGCATATTTTTACCATTTCTTTCTGATTAGGTCAACCGACCATGGTGCACCGAGCATAAGTCTGTCAGAACAACTGATCACACCGTGTGTGGGTGTGCAGGGCCTTTAAACCAACTATTTGGTCATTTATTTAATCAAACAAACCAGACCCCTCCCCATAAAAGCTGGATGTGCATGTTGTGCAGATGACTTGTGTAGAATCCAGCTCAAGCACTGCTCTCTGACCAACCAACACTGCATCTCAAGATCCACAAAATAATCTTAAAAACTTGCAAAGTGCAAACATGTTTTATTAGCACAGTATAAATACAGTGTGATTAAGCTACATTATTTTACAAAACCTGAGCTCAAGGTAAAACAAAGAAAAGTAATGTATATGTCTGTTTTATATGTCTGTTCCAAGCTTATAAGTCTCATAGCACTCTATGAATCAAGTGCAAAGTGATAAAATCTTTAACCCAGGAGCTCTGTGACTGTATTACTGAATTATGTACAACTATACAGAATCAGTTTTTGATATTACATTCATTTGTGGGTGAAATGGTATTTCATAGATGTAGGCCTAATGCTTATTATAGTACTATTGTGTTGTGTTGGTCTACTTCCATATACATTACATTGCTACAGAATGTATGAAAAAAGAACTAGGTAATTAAACTGTGTATATGAGAGAAACTGGCCTTGTGTTAATGGCATTTCACCATGTGAAAATAGTCAAGAAAGGTCCCCAACTTGATGCGGAAGGGCAGTGGTCACTGGACCACCATTGCTACTGGGGTTATCTTTTCCTTTCATGAAGAAGGTTAGCAGCTCCCCTTTCCCTTTGACAAATATTGGCCCTCTCCGGATAAAGCGGAAGCCATACTCCTTCAGGATGTCATAGCAGTCCTCCACCACCTGAGGGCAGAGCAGGAGATTCACAAAATCAGAAGTTGAAAATAAACATGACATTAAAAAAAAGGCCATAACAGGAGACATTCAAACTTGCTGTATGTGTGCTTTTGTGTTTGCACTACCTGGATGTTTCCCATCACTCCGGTGGACTCCATTCTGCTGGCTACGTTGACTGTGTTGCCCCAGATATCATAATGAGGTTTACGAGCTCCAATGACTCCCGCCAAAACCCCCCCTTTATTCAGACCTGATAGGGAATCAACATGGAAACATGAGCATACACACGCTTGCAAATGTCCACACAGACGGGCTTACACACATACACTAACCGATTCGGAGCATGAAGTTGTTGAAGGACTGTTTGTTGAGGTTGTTGAGGGTTACTTTCATAGCCAAGGCAAAGTCTGCCAGGGCAGATAGGTGCTGCCAGCGCTTAGTCAGTGACTGGTCCTCTGGCTGCGGAATGCACAACCACAACCAGTTTAGAGAAAATGGATAACAGATATACATGTAACGAGGTAAACAGTAACATATAGGCTTTTAAAGTATCAACCTTGCGGTTGCTGTATTCGTTCGTGTTGCTCTCTGGAGTGAGTCCTGAGGCGGCCATGTAGGTGCTTCCGATTGTCTTGATCTTGGTGATGCAGCGGAACTCATCCCAGTCTAGTAACTGGCAGAGAAAGTGGACATTAGTTAGTCAAGGGGAGTCCTAGGCATTTAAAATGTCTGTTCACACACTGATGTCACATACACACATACACATACAACAAACTGTTGGGACTCACGCTGTCAAAGTCTGAGATTATCTCATTGAGAATCCTGAGACACTCAAGGCCTCCGTTGTTGATGCTCTCTTCAGTGTAGAAATCAGAAAAGTTGGGGATGGAAGCAAACATCACACCTATTTCATTGTAAGACTGGCTGTACAGCTCCTATAAATGACAAGCGGCATGATGTTAGTTTGCTTGGATTTTGTATTTCTATGTTTTTCTTTGACACAAAACAATTGTTATCACTGATTATTAGAATTCACCAGAGAAAAGCTCTAATATGTAATAATTTAATCAACCACAGGATGGCGCTGATACACAATAAACTGCATTGCGATGAGCATTACATACAGTGCCTTCATTACTTCAATGAGGCAGGTCACAAAGGTATATTAAGTAGCTTAATTGTGTTGTTTGACATTCCTCCTCCTCATTCCTGACATCCATCGCTCATGATACTGTAACATGGCCCAGGATCATATATACCTCATCTCTCTTCTTAGTGCCCAGGAAGTGTTTGGCCACATGCTCCGGCAGCATGTTGGTGACCAGTGCTTCGTTCCAGCGCCTCATCTCAAACACCCTCTCCTTCTGGTCGTGCACACCGATCTTCCACAGGAACAGCTTCCTGGACTGACGCTCCAGCTACACACACCACAGTAGGAATGACAGTTAAGATGAAGTAAGTAGGTTATTTTGAGGAAAAAACACCATAGGAGAAATAGTGATAATTGCTTTGCCCAAGCACAGGATGCTTTCTTCTGTAGGCGCTGACTTTCATGTGATTTTTTCATGCGGCAGACAGGTTGGTGGTCAGCAAAGTGTGATACAGTGTGGGTATACAAGAGAAAGTGACTCACATGGCGGGCAAAGAAGTAGAAGCCAATCATCATGACAATGATCATCATGGTCATGAGGTACTTTGATGGCACTATGGATGTTCTGGAAAAACAAAGACAATGGCAGAACAATGATAATACTTCCATCACTTTGTATGAACTCACAATTGTATTTGTAAACCACTATAGATAGATAGATAGATAGATAGATAGATAGATAGATAGATAGATAGATAGATAGATAGATAGACTTTATTAATCCCCGAAGGGAAATTGGGTCGTCATAGCAGCCAGGTATATTTACAAACAATAAAATACAATAGAATAAAATAAAACAATAGAATAAAATACAACAATAGAAAAGATAAAAAAAGATAAATAGGTAGGTAAGGTGCAAAGAGTTGTAGTTGCAAGATGGTGGTAATAGTACTGATGATATGATGGTAATAATAATAATAATAATAATAATATGTATATATAATATGATGACTGAAAAGATATACATGTGTACATGTAAGATAGCAGAATCCTATCACAATTTATTTATGTATTTTCAATAAGGCTGCATACAAATCCATTATTCAGACTGTTCATTGATCTGTTTTACCCATTCCTCACCTGTATGAGGCAAACTGTATAAAATCATACAGGTCATATATGTCCCGCCAGCTGTAGATATTAACTGCTCCAGTTGCTGTGACGACCAGCACCATGAGGCCCAGTTTAATCAGGTGGCTGACCTGTACCAACATGGCGGTGGCAATGAGTGACATCACAGCCATGTAGCTGTAGTGCTTTGGATTCTCTGCACAGCCTCGGTCACCAAGTGACTCCAGCATGGGGCCCGAGGTGCTGTTGAAGACTCGAAAGGACGGTGGGACACAGCTCAGCTGCAACATCAGAGATGAACTGCATTAGTACATTTAATAAACAATCAATAATTTCATATGTAGCAGAGTATTCATGGTTAGGACATGATTAGAGACTTAACATGGAGTTCAAATCATTGACATTCAATAATTAATTCATTCAACAAATACATGTATTAATTTCATGAAATGAATGTACATGAAACACATTTAGAACCTAATTTCTGCTGCACTTAAAGTGGTACATGTACATTAGGTGCATACAGTTGTGTCATATTGGTTATTGTTCAGCTACATTAAATATACTATAAAAA